CCTCCCTCCTAGCATCTCTCCCTACCTCCCCCTCCCTCCTAGCATCTCTCCCTTCCTCCCCCTCCCTCCCCCTCCCTCCTAGCATCTCTCCCTACCTCCCCCTCCCTCCTAGCATCTCTCCCTACCTCCCCCTCCCTCCTAGCATCTCTCCCTTCCTCCCCCTCCCTCCTAGCATCTCTCCCTTCCTCCCCTCCCTCCTAGCATCTCTCCCTACCTCCCCCTCCCTCCTAGCATCTCTCCCTACCTCCCCCTCCCTCCTAGCATCTCTCCCTACCTCCCCCTCCCTCCTAGCATCTCTCCCTACCTCCCCCTCCCTCCTAGCATCTCTCCCTACCTCCCCCTCCCTCCTAGCATCTCTCCCTACCTCCCCCTCCCTCCTAGCATCTCTCCCTACCTCCCCTCCCTCCTAGCATCTCTCCCTTCCTCCCCTCCCTCCTAGCCTCTCTCCCTCCCTCCTAGCCTCTCTCCCTCCCTCCCCCTCCCTCCTAGCATCTCTCCCTACCTCCCCCTCCCTCCTAGCATCTCTCCCTCCCTTTCTGACTAATTCTCCCCCTCTCTCACTGATTCTCCCCTCTCTCTCATACTGCCTCCCACCTAAGCTCTCCCATCCATCCACCCACCAGTCAGCCATCACTGACGCAATGCGTGCATTTGGAGCCACTTGAAGCGACCAGCCCCAAAGAGGCAAGGACCGAAGAGAACCCCTGCGATCCAGGCAATGAACCACCGGAGAACAGTCCGAATGGGGCAGGATGGTCCAACCTCCAAGGGACCCGAACCCTCTGAAGCGAGAACCAAACTGCCACGAATTCCCGCACCGTGCTGTGAGCCCGACGGAAGGACGGATCTCCATCGCCCCTGGCCGGCCTGGTGAGCACTGGTCACAAAACCCCAGCCGAGAGACACCGTGTCGAAGAACACATCAAGCAAGGGTTCGGGTAGGTGCCAAGGCACTGAACCCTGAAAACCCCGAATAGGAAGCTGGCAACACACCAACCGACACAAGGCTCACAAAGGTCAAACCCAGCGATCGTGAGAGAAGCGGAAGGGGCGTCGTCCCCGAAGGAACCGGAACAGACGCCAAAGCCAAACCCGACCCAGCGGGTAGACCAGCATGGCGAAGTTCAAACTCCCACACAACTGCTTGAGCAACCTCCGAGTGACCCAGAGCCGCAGCCGCAGCAATGCCTCCAGAGGGAAAGACATGGAAGTGGTCCGAGAGTCCCCAACAAGACCCAGCCAGGTCGAACCTGGAACGGAACCAGATGGGACTTCCTCCAGTTCACCAAGAACCCGAACCCGGCGAGCTGGGAAAGAACCACACCCTCTGGCGAGCAGAGAAGCAGACCGACTGGGAGCCAACACCAGCCAGTGGTTGAGGTAGGCCAGGACCCGAACCCCTAGCAGATACAGACGGGTCACCACAACCTGGGTAAGGTGCGTGAATATGTGAGGTGCCAGATTTAAGACAAAAGGCAACAAAAGCAGTAAGCCTAAGGCCCCACCACAAAACCTAATCAGTCTCTGAACCCCAGATGAATAGGAATGTGCCAATATACGTCCTTGTGGTCCAGGGATACCATCTAGGCACCCGGCTCCAAAAGAAGCAGGACCTGAGACAGTAGTCATCTGAAAGGACGGGCAAGGAATCCAGGGGTCCAGACGGGACAACTCCAGAATAAACAGCAGATCCGCACAGTCCCGTTTTCAGCACTGGAAACGGGTGGAAAACCCACCAGAGACATGAGGTCGTTTCGACCACGCCCAAGCGCACCCACTCCAAGATGACTCAACGAAGGGCAGGTTATCTCGAGATGATTTCGGGGCTTGGCGATCCCCATGGCTCGTTCCTCGACCAAGCCTTCTTTTTAATACACACCCTCAGGAAGCAGCCTGAAACAGCTGTCTAACCTCTAGGTACCTATTTACTGATAGGTAACAGGGGCATCAGGGTGAAAGAAACTGCCCAATTTGCTTCTGCTTCCATCAGGGATATAACCCAGAACCTCAGGACTACGACTCAGCTGTCAGACCCCTTGGCAGGAGAAGCAGCCTGCCCCTCCAGCCCCGAACTCCCCAAAGGAGGAGCCGCCCAACGCCACCAGAGGCCAGATGACAACCAAAAAGCTCACAAATTATGGGACCAAGCGCGAGCAAACAGAGTGAGCTTTCCCCTCATGTGAACAAGCTTTGTGAACCACGAAAGGGCCGATGGCCCTCACGAGAAGCTGACCGTCGAACAGAGAGATCACTGTGCCAACCAGACGAGGCCAGCTCCAGACAATGTCAGCTCAGAAGCCGGTACCAATGGCCCACCTCGACCAGCGGAACCCCGAGCCCTGGTACGACCCTTCCGAGAACGACCACCCCAGAGAACCAATAAATCTGACATAGGCAGACAACTAGACAAAGTTGCCTGCTGAATCTGCGTGACCGCAGCCTCTGCAAACAGCAACGGACAAAACGAGGATGAAAACCTAAGAGCCAGGGGCCCAAGCGAATTCCAAAGAGAGGGCGAGCACAGCATGATGGCATACGAGGCGAGAAGCAAAGAACACACACACTACCTCCTTCAGGATAGATGCAAAGATAGGCGCAGAGATTCTACCTCCTTCAGGATAGGCGCAGAGATTCTACCTCCTTCAGGATAGGCGCATCGGCTGCACTTCAAGAGTGGGGCCGATGCCCGAGCCGCCGAGGACAGGACACTAGACGAAGGCCCGGCACTCAACGCCTCCACATCCTCCACATGCCGGGAAGAAGGCAGCTCAAAAAGGAAAAAGAAGCACAAGACCAAAGACAAACGCCCAGGGGTGCACAACTCCTCTGCTACCAAGGACGCCAAAAGGGAAGGAACCTGCACATGCAGCTGCTCAAGGCCAACATCCCGAGAAAGCACGGGTGAACAAGCACGCATTAAGGCGCTCAAACTCGCCCCTAGGTAAACCTGCAGAATGCTAGACGTTTCTCGCAACTCAAGCATCCGGGACCGACTGAACCCATGCCACGCTGCGCCAATGAAAAGAAAGGGCAGTCTGCCAGCCAGGAAGACTCCAGAACCTCCAAATGCACCCAATACAGGGAAGTAGAACTGAACTCAAAAGAGGTCGGATCCATGACGGAGGCGGAATCCAAGTCTCGCAGGAGGTATGCAGCAAGAGCCTCCAAAACCTCCTGCACGGAGATACGAGAGGCAGAAAACATCCAAAAGGACAGGCCCGAGGTACCCAAGGGGGTCCTGGAACTGAACCCAGGGAGGAGCCGAACCCAAATCATACTCCTACAGAGAAGGGGGGGGTAAGAAAACCCCCTCCCCCTGCAACAACAAGCCCCGCGAAGAGGACACTAGCACCCAAGCGGGGTCAAAGAGGGGCCCCAAAACCCACACGTCGACTCCTCACCCAGCCCTGGGATCGCCCAGATTGGGATCTGAGGCAGAGCCCAGTACGCCTAAGCGCATGCAGCCCCAGCATTGATGAGTAACACCTGGCCACCACACACAACACAGTAGAGGTCGCCACAAAGGTGAAACACCGGCAAGGAATTCGAGGCCAGAGAAGCGTCCGCCCCGGATCACAGCTAACGAACTGGATGACCGAGTAGCCGGCGCGGGGAGGCCCGGGGTTCCCCCCCCTTTCCCCCTTGGAAAGGGGAGGGCTGCTTGCACAAGCAGCATCATGGTTGAGTGTGACATATGCTTGTTTGCTTGTTTCCGGATTGGAGGGAGTTCTACTTTTTTTTTTTTTTTTTTGGTTGTTAGTTGTCATTTTCTTACCATGTGGGGTTTTTTTTGTTACACCTACTTTTCTGGGTGCCTAACCCCGGTCGATGGCAGATAAGGAAAACCCCGACCACATGGGGGGTTTCCAGGGCCATTGCTCACTGCAACTTCTCTGAAGTGGCCAGGTTCTGGCTCATGGTCCCTGGTAGGTGGAACTCCATAGCTACTGCCCCAGTCTAATATATCACACATTAGCCCGATAGCTCCAGGGGAGTCTCCGGTACTCCCCACAGAAACCTCTACAGAAATGGTTCCCGAATGTGCCAGGGAAGAGAACCCTGACGCGCAAGGTCAGTACTCACAGTGCGCCTAGGGAAGAATGCCCCTAAGCTGTCTAGCTCCAAGGTACTTATTTACTGTTAGGTAAACTGGGCCATCAGGGTGAAAGAAACTCTGCCCCTTTGTTTCCGCCATCACCGGGAATCCATTCCCGTACCCTAGGATTATGAATCCTGAGCGCCGTCCCTCAGTGTTGAGCTTAGGCCCTCTGGTCCAACCTCTCAACCATCAATCAACTGGTGTACAGATTCCTGAACCTATTGGGCTCTATCATATCTACATTTGAACCTGTGTATGGAGTCAGCCGCCACCACATCACTGCCTAATGCATTCTATCTGGTAATTACTCTGACACTGAAAAGTTCTTTTTAACATCCCTGTGGCTCATTTGGGTACTCAGTTTCCACCCGTGTCCCCTTGTATGTGTACCACCAAACAGTTTATTCTTGTCTACCCTGTCAATTCCTCTGAGAATTTTGAAGGTAGTGATCATGTCTCTTCCCTAACACTTTTGTCTTCTAGCGTCGTGAGGTGTATTTCATGTAGTCTTTTCTCGTATCTCATACCTCTTAGTTCTAGGACTAGCCTAGTGGCATACCTCTGAACTTTTTTCAGCTTAGTCTTGTGCTTGACAAGGTATGTGTTCCATGCTAGGGCCGCATGGAGCCAGTACCACATAAACTGTAAATTTATGTTTACAGTGTATGAAAATATGAATTATGTTGGTTGTGGTACAATAAATTAAAAATGAGTTCATTTTAGGCTTTCCAAGTAAAAAAAAAAAATTAGGTCACCTCACCAGAGGTGGACCCCATATGATGCAGATTTGTGAGCATACGCAGTACAACATACTGCTGTAAAACATAAGTATTTGGCATAGCTGAATTATTAATGACATGATGAATACAATATGCAGGTGATTAACTTATAATGACCTTACCGGTCCTAGAACTGGGTGCCCCTCGTGTGTAGTGGGATCAGGTAATCTCACATAGTACCAAGACTCTCTTAAAAATCTGCTAGAGTAACGTTTGAAACTGCTGATAATTTTCTTCTTGGCTAACTTTCTCATATGGTCAGTTGGCAAGGAGTTAATTGCCAGTAAGGCATTGGGTACCTGTTGAACAGTTGATAAGAATCATTAATAACATTTATAATCATTTTATAAAAATGTTGCACTTTGCTTACTATGGGAACATAACAGTCTACAAGAATGTGAAATACAAATTTAAAGAAAAGTTTACCTTATGCTGAGGAAATTTCATGATGTGAGTAACATAAATTTCAGCTGGACAATTCACCTTCTTTGTTGCCTGAGAACGATTCCTACTCTTCGGACTAACTCCACTCTCCTACAGAAAATAAATGTAACATTAAAATGAACAGAAGTATCTAGAAATTTTCTACTTGTATAGTAACAAGTACTGTATACAATATAGTATACCTGCATTAGTTAGTAATTTATTTCTGTCATTGTTTGATGGTCAGTGTAAAATTAACCATATAAATCTAGACCAGAGTTCCACACAAAGTCATGTGACCAATACTTTTGCACCGCTCACGAATGCATACAGTGTAATAGTTACTCAACTCACTGCATAGCAACACCCCAGAAATCTCGAGAGGTCTGGAAAATAAACACTGCCAGAACCAACCTTCGTCGCCAAGATTACCAAAAGTTTTCTTAACCGAAAACCAAATATGTGCACGAATACTAGCAGATCATATATATTTCAAATTCTTACTACTCTCACACCTTTAACCCTTCAAATGTTCCAATCAGAGACACCACTTCTGACCCCATTATGCGAGTTAATGAGGGATGATTTAAAGTACTGCATGGGTTTTTAAAAGTCTCAAGTGTACACGGGTACTCACAGTTGCTCCCTTAGGCCTCCAGTAAACAGATACTATCTTGGAAGTAAATTGTAGGCACCTCTCTCATGAGTTTGAAGGCCTCAGTTGTGAGAGAGCACCCATGTAGGAAGCACATGCTGCACCAGTTCACAGCACCACCGTGCACCTATATACACCATCACTTACCAATGGCTAAATAAATAACTGATTAATTTGCAATGACAGTGTCAATGATCCTGACTGTGATAAAGACTATGTGCAAGATTCAGATAACAATGAACACAATACTAGTTATGATGTTCTCAGCATGAGCAGACATCCACAGCACACAGCCGCAGTTTTGTGCATCTACACATCATGAAATGGGACCTCATGTTCCTTTAGAAAAATTTGTGGAAAGGGATTCGTATCATAATTAAGTGACTAGAATTCTGATGATAATGGCAGTGTTGAGCCTCGAAGTGAGAAATGTTGCAGTACATTGGCATTCATTTTGCCAAGTCAGATGGCATTATCCGAGTAGCGTGTGGCACTATGCTATGCTTGGATTTTGGATTTCATTACTATATCCACCAGAACTCCTTATAGTGGTTCGTTTTGATGGCACAACAAATGTAGATAGTTATATATAACATGTGTGTGTATATAGTGTAATAACAGCAAAAACCAGCGTTGAATGTAATGAAATGCCATTTTCTGGGCGAGCCCTGGAGGCTCCCTGAAGCTATCTGAATTAATATGTGCTATATTAGTTTGGGGTCGTCATGAGCCAGAATCTGGCCCCCCTTCAGAGAGGCGCAGGGAGCAATGGCCTACGGATACTTTACATTTAAATTACAGCATATCATAATTGCCATGGACCTGGGAGGCCCCCCCCCGCCTTGGAATGATAGGTGAAACAAAACAGACCACAATCTGGTAAAATTGTGACCTATGTCTGAAAATAGCAAAAGCAAAAGAACTCGCACAGAAAGAAAACAAATGAGCAACACTTCACCCAACTAGCCCTCCTGCTTGTGCCCTGGCCCCCCAGAAGGGAGGGGGGGAGGAGAGCACAGAAAATGGCATTTCACTACATTCAATGCTGGTTTTATGTGGGAAGCCCCATAGGCTCCCTGAAACTAACTACCTGCAGATAAGTAAAAAAACCAGCATTGAATGTAATGAAACGCCATTTTCTGGGCGAGATCCAGAGGCTCTCTGGTGCTTATCGGGCTAATGTATGTTATATTTGACCAGGACATCAGCCAAGGAGTTCAGACCTACCAGGGACCAGAGCCAGAACCAGGCCCCTTCAGAGAGGTTTCAGGGAGCAATGGCCCTGGAAAACACCCTTGCGGTTGGGGTTTTCCTTATCTGCCATCGACCGGGGTTAGGCACCCAGAAAGGTAGGCATAACAAAACAAACCCCACATGGTAAAAAACTAAAACAAAAAAACAAACAGAGGTAGAAACTCCCTACAATCCCAAGGAAACAAGCAAACAAGCAAACATCACACTTTACTGCCACGCCGATCGTCCGCGCAGCCCTCCCCGCCCCGAGAGGGGGAGGGGGGAGCCCCGGACCTACCGCGCTGGCTGCCTAGCTTCAGTTCGGAAGCTAAGCTTCAACCAACACGAAAAAAACGCAGACCTGTGGGAGGGAGGGTTGCCAGGGAGCCTCCGGGGCTCACCCAGAAAATGGCGTTTCATTACATTCAACGCTGGTTTTCTGTGAGGAGCCCCTACGGCTCCCTGGAGCTTCATACCCAAAGAGAAGGAAAAGAAAGGGCTAACCTGGGAGGCGGCCGCCACAAACTGCAACGCAAAGCTGAGACAACAGGCTGCAACCTGCGACCCAAGGCAACAGGAACGCACAGGAGCAGACACGCATAAAGAATGGGTGACCAAGAACCTGTGCGACCCTCAAATCCCTGCGCCCGAAATGAGCCCTAGACGTCACCAACACAGCAGCAAAAGCTGCAAACGTCCGAACAGCACGGGCGCAAGGACAGACAGCAGGCTGGAAGACGGAAAAAATCTGCGGACGACCTGGGAGACCCGAGCCCTGAAACAGGGAACGAGGGGAACCTGATCAACCCAAAGCGCATCCCCAGACACGGTACGCAGGTAATGGCATACAAACCTACCACCAGTAGCAAAGAGCAGAAACTTGAACTGAAGGGGCTACCACAAACTGAGGAGAAGATACGAAGGCACCCTGATCAAGGACCAGGATGGCTCAGGCGACGCATGAGCAGGCCGGAGGTGAAACAAAACACGCGAAAGCGTACGGAACGGGGCAGATGTGACGTCCACCCCGAACGCAAGCTGGAGTGGCTCTGCCAACGCCGCACAAAACGAGGCGAGAGTAAGAAACATCAAATAATTGTAGTCCTGAAAACCCAAGAAAGGACAAGACAACCCAATGCAAAAGAGAAGACAACCTACGAAGAGCAAGAAAAAGTGCATAGAAACACCAGAGACGTCATACTGTCGCCAAGACGAAGCTTGCAGGTGGGACACCGTCAACAAAGCCACCTGATCACCACAGAGATGGTTGGTTGGTTGATACCTGGTTGATGGGGTTCTGGGAGTTCTTCTACTCCCCAAGCCCAGCCCGAGGTCAGGCTTGACTTGTGAGAGTTTGGTCCACTAGGTTGTTGCTTGGAGCGGCCCGCAGGCCCACCACAGCCCGGTTGGTCCGGCACTCCTTGGAGGAATGAATCTAGTTTCCTCTTGAAGATGTCCACGGTTGTTCCGGCAATATTTCTTATGCTTGCTGGGAGGGTGTTGAACAACAGTGGACCTCTGATGTTTATACAGTGTTCTCTGATTGTGCCTATGGCACCTCTGCTCTTCACTGGTTCTATTCTGCATTTTCTTCCATATCGTTCACTCCAGTACGTTGTTATTTTACCGTGTAGATTTGGTACTTGGCCCTCCAGTATCTTCCAGGTGTATATTATTTGATATTTCTCTCGTCTTCTTTCTAGTGAGTACATTTCGAGGGCTTTGAGACGATCCCAATAATTTAGGTGCTTTATCGCGTCTATGCGTGCCGTATATGTTCTCTGTATTCCCTCTATTTCAGCAATCTCTCCTGCTCTGAAGAGGCAAGCGAGTACCGAGCAGTACTCAAGATGGGACAACACAAGTGACTTGAAGAGTACAACCATTGTGATGGGATCCCTGGATTTGAAAGTTCTCGTAATCCATCCTATCATTTTTCTGGCTGTCGCAATATTTGCTTGGTTATGCTCCCTAAACGTTAGGTCGTCAGACATCATTATTCCCAAATCCTTTACATGCTGTTTTCCTACTATGGGTACATTTGATTGTGTTTTATACCCTGTATTATGTTTAAGGTCCTCATTTTTACCGTACCCGAGTACCTGGAATTTATCACTGTTAAACATCATGTTATTTTCTGATGCCTAGTCGAAAACTTTATTAATATCAGCTTGAAGTTTTTCAATGTCTTCAGCCGAGATAATTTTCATACTGATTTTTGTGTCATCTGCAAGGGATGATACGAAGCTGTGACTTGTATTTTTGCCTATATCTGACATGAGAATAAGGAAAAGCAGCGGTGCAAGGACTGTACCCTGAGGTACAGAGCTTTTAACTGCACTTGGACTATATTTTATATGGTTGACCGTTACTCACCGAGTCCTGTTTGACAGAAAACTGAGTATCCAGCGTCCTACTTTACCGGTTATTCCCAATGACTTCATTTTGTGTGCTATCACGCCATGGTCACATTTATCGAAAGCCTTTTGCGAAGTCCGTGTATACCACATCAGCATTCTGTTTTTCCTCTAATGCCTCAGTGACTTTGTCGTAGTGCTCAAGTAGCTGTGAGAGGCACGATCTTCCCGCTCGAAATCCATGTTGGCCTGGGTTGTGAAGGTCATTGGTCTCCATGAAATTGGTGACCTGACTCCTAATCACTCTCTCAAATACTTTTATTATGTGTGATGTTAGTGCAACTGGTCTATAATTCTTTGCCAATGCTTTGCTCCCTCCATTGTGCAGAGGGGCTATGTCTGCTACTTTAAGTGCATCTGGTATCTCCCCCGTGTCCAAGCTCTTCCTCCACACTATACTGAGTGCCTGTGCTACTGGCACTTTGCATTTCTTTATAAATATTGAATTCCATGAGTCTGGACCTGGGGCCGAGTGCATGGGCATGTTTTCAATTTCTCTTTCAAAATTTAGTGCGCTCGTGTTGATATCAGTTATATTTACAGGGGTTTGAATATCCCGCATAAAGAAATTGTCTGGATCTTCCACTTTCATGTTGTTTATTGGAGTGCTAAACATGTCCTCATACTGCTTTTTTAGGATTTCACTAATTTCTTTGTCATCCTCCGTGTATGAACCTTCACTAGTACGAATAGGTCCAATACTGGCAGTGGTTTTTGCTTTTGATTTCGCATATGTGAAGAAGTATTTTGGATTTTTCTTTATTTCCTGAATTGCTTTCTGTTCTAACTGCCTTTCTTCAGTTTCA